TATTATTTATTAATTAAAGACGAAGAAAGCATCCTTCAGCGCTGGAAAGCGCAAAACCATTCACTGTTCAACCGAAACATGGATATGAATGCCCTGACTACCCAGCAGGTCCCTCAGCATCCAGAGCTCACCCACCTCAGCTATCCTCCATTACTGGATGAGGTAGCTACTGCCATCAAACAGATGAAAAAAAACAAAGCCTCACCAGTCGTCTCCACTCTTTACTTGAGAAAATATGAGAAAAGGAAGAAATTCTCCAAGATCTTAAATATGCCTCCATCGTCAATATTTATATGAACAAGGGAGACCGGTCAGACTGTGGCAACTACCACGGGATCTCACTGCTGTCCGTAGCTGGCAAGATTATCGCCCGAATCCTCCTGGACAGACTGCCCCCCAGAAACTCAATGGAAGCTGACATGATCTTTGCTGCCCACCAGATACAGTAAAAGTGCAGAGAACAGCGTCGTGACCTGTACATCTGTACATGGCTTTCAACGACCTAACCAAGGCCTTCGATTCGGTCAACAGGGAAGCTTTCTGGCTGACTATCAGCCGCTTTGGATGCCCACCATAATTCATCACCATTATGCAATTCCACGATGGCATGAACGGCAGTGTTCTGCACAATGGCACCCAGTCTGAGTTCTTCCCAATCCTAACGGGGGTAAAACAAGGATGTGTACCGGCACCAACTCTTTTCCATTTTTTGGCTGCCTTCCTTACTCATGCTAGTGCCAATTTAGCCGGCTGGGTGGACATCGAGTACCGGATGAAGGGTCTTTTCAACATAAGACGACTCCAAGCAGGAACAAAGGTGTCGGCAGCTTCCATTACTGAACTTCAGTATGCAGACGACCTCACCCTTTTCGCTCACACTGAACGAGACTTACAGGAGATCCTGAACACCTACGCAGATGCGTATGCACACCTCGGCCTTGAAGTGAATGTACGTAAGACTCAGATTTTCTTTCAACCTGTCCCTTCCCTAATGTTACCCACTTTCGGTATCTCGGCTCACACCTGTCCACCAACGAAGACATTGATGAAGAGAATCAACGTCGGATCAGATGTTCATCTCAAGCCTTTGGCAGACTCCGTACCCGTGTCTTCCTCTGTAGGGAGCTGAAATTATCTACAAAATTGCACGTATATCGAGCAGTAGTTCTCCCCACTCTGTTATATGGCAGCGAGATGTGGGTCATATACAGGGGGCAACTCAAGGCACTTGTAAACTGTCATCAACGGAGTCTATACGTACCATCCTCAGAGTTCGCTGGGAAGATAAAAGAACAAATGCCACTATTCTCGCTGACACCAACTGTAAGAACATCGAGGCTACCATTATCAATGAACAACTACGCTGGACTGGCCATGTTACCTGCATGAGCGACAGTAGACTACCAAAGCAGCTACTTTACAGTCACCTTATGAAAAGTAAACGTAACGCTGGCGGGTAACTGACAAGGTATAAGGATAGTCTTAAGACAAACCTGAGGAAGTGCCAAATCGAACCCCCTCACCTGGGAGACGATTACTCCACACCGTAACGTTTGGAGGATCACCACACAAGAAGGTGTCAATATTTTCGAGTTAGCCCGACTGCATACCTAGGCAGACAAGCACCAACGCCGGAAAGACGCTGTTGATGCCCCTCCACACGTGCAACATTTGTGATCGAACCTGCCGGTCCCGTATCGGCCTCGTTAGTCACCTGAGAACTCACCAACGAAGGTGACATCCTTAATAACTCATATCATTGTATCACAGCTGGTTAACGTCATACTCGATTCCGAGTGACAGCAAAGTAGTAGCAGTAATGTATTAATATAGGTGTGTGGTGATGTACTGTAGGTATGTAGGTGTGTGGTGATGTATTGTAGGTATGTTGGTGTGTGGTGATGCAGTTGCTATAGTCAAACGAATACAGCAAGATAGCATCATGAAGACATTTGGTAGCACAATCCTTCGTTACAAAATGCCGATTAGAAATAATGATTACTTCAACACAGTACAGCAACAGTACAGCACTGAACATGAACTCGCAGTTGAGTGCTGTAGGGGAAGTCCATTAAACGCTAAGGGTAGTACAATCTCCTATAACATAGACATAACCCAAGATACAGCAAAAGGGTGAAGCACCTCGATTAATTTTTCACACGTAAATGATATTTAAACTAATAGAATCTGAGCGGGGCGAGGCGGAGTGTAATGGGGCGGGACGGGGCGGGGCGGGGCGACGCGAAGTGTAGCGGGGTGGAGTGTCATGGGGCGAGGTGGGGTGTAGTGGGGCGGGGCGAGGTGTAGTGGTGCGGGTCGAGGTGTAGAGCGGCGGGGTGTGGCGGTGCGGGGCTTAGAAGATGATGGCTGTAATATCCGGCAGAAGACACCAATCGGAACACTATCAAGCAGGATACACCTTTTTGCCCCCAAAAAAAAAGATATAGGTTTTGAAATGAAGAAAATGTCAACCCTTTTCATATCTGATTCATCCAGTTCAAAAAGGTTAAGGAAAATGTAACATCTTCACTATATGTCTCATCACATGGAAATTATTGTGTCTGTACCTGGCTGTACTCGCACACTTATCAGGTTGGAACACAGTCTCAGGGAAGTAATCTTTTTAGTTGGTTTATTTACTATTTTCATTTACTGAAATCTTTGACGTCTTTCATTTTATATTTTTTTCAAGATTCTCGTTCGTTGTAAAAGCTATCTACTCCCCCTTCACCGTGGACTCAAAAACGAATATACATACACTAGTATACATCCTCCAATTTCATTCATTATTCAAGATATTTGTTTTATCTGAAAATAAATACAGAAGGCTTCAAGTAAGAGCACAAATTACAGTACAAAAAGACTAAAATAATCGAGTTACAATTAACGATGTTTTTGCGTCACTTCTACATAAGAAAAAATCTCCCTTATTTTCTTTGTTTTGGGGTTCTGTCTAGTCAGCTTAGCCACGCCTCTCCTCATTTGACAGATGATAGTTTGTTTTTTTATCACGTGTCACAGTTTTATTTTTCTTTAAGTGTGGCTTATCTCAACCAACGGACGTTTTTTTTTTTAACTCATTCACTTGTTTTGAAATCTTGTAACGAAAGTGTCTGACAAAGTTTGACCAAGTAGATGATAAGGAAATATACTAGGATAAGGTTTGTTTAGCGTGGATTACGAAAGGCTAGGTTATCTTAGACGTGATTTTTTGTTTAGGTTAGATAAATGCTTGTTTATGATCAGTTAGGTTTGGCTAGATAGCGTAAAAAATTGTTAAGTAAGGTTACGCTAAGTTACGTTAGGTTACGTTACGTTACGTTAGGTAATGTAAAGTATGGTGAGGTTAAACAAGGTTGTATTGCGTTAGGTAAGGTTGTGTTACATTAGGTAAGGTTGTGTTACGTTAGGTCAGCTGAAATCGATTTTAGGGGGTGCTGGGAAGGGCCTTATTTTTGGAGAAAGAACAAAATAAATTATCAAGAAGTACTTTACTTACTTATTACAGCCTTGAAGCAACTGTAGTCTCTGCAACCAGATGGAGGGGGTGCTGAACTGCCTAGACCTGACCACAGAGGGGTGCTGAGGTCGAAAAGGGTTAAGAAACGCTACGTAAAGATTGGTTACGTTAGACTAGGTCGTGTTACGTTACTTAAGGTTAAATTAAGTTATATAAGCTTTGGTTAGGGATACCCAATAAAGTTCTTGAGAGAGAGAGAGAGAGAGAGAGGGGATATGTAGCGCGAATATTTTCCGTGGCAGTGAACACACCCAACTTCCAAAAACGAGCTTGTGAGTCAATGACACGCCATCGTACAAGAGCAGACAAAAAAACCCAGAACATTTCTCAAAGTCACAGGAATATATTTCATCGCAATGACACAGGCAGCGAGGGTGACACGAGGGAGACAGGAGAGAAATGCGCCCTCAGAAAGGGAGACTAAGTTAGGTTGTGGTCGCGTTATTGTGAGTCGCTCAAGGGCGTTTGCTTGGTGCTTAAAGGCAGAGTAGAGAGAGAGAGAGAGAGAGAGAGAGAGTTATCAATTTTCTTAGCTCTGCTGCAAGATCAAATAATTCATGAGCAGTGTTATAAGTGAACACCTTCCTCTTGCCTCCATTCATAATAAAACTTGCCTAATTCAACACCATCGCATAAATACAATTGTCTTCTCTTCATATGAAATCTAATATTTTGAAATTAATTCGTCAAATCATTCGACAGGCACATGATATAAGAAGCAAAGAAACAGACACATAGACAGACACATAAACCTACTCAAAAGAACAACATACTTGGCAAATAGTTGTGAATAATAAAGTAAGAGCACGTGTTAGTCTGGCCCACATGAAGGGTTAGTAAACACCCCGAGGTCGCTTTTATCTAACACCCACCGGGGGGAAAAACCTGATACAAATTAAGACAAAGATTGTGTCTCATATTACGGGTATAAATGTACATAATAGCCCGGAGTGGCCTCAAAAACACGGTCCCCACTCCCGAAATAATAAGAAAACACGATACAGGTGTTGTGAGAAGGTCGTATTACTGTTTATGAGACGACAAAAAACAAACCCAGAGTGACCTGCCAGACTCAACGTGTGGCGGGAACTTTGTAATCGAGTATAGAGTAGCTCAGACCCCCCTCCTCCTTATCACCCCTCACTCTTACGCATAACCCCTCCACTCCACCAACCTGCTGCCCCCTGGTCACGAACCCCTCTATCACTTCCTACCATTCACGCACCCCTCCCCAAAATATTAAAGGGATATTACCTTCAAAAAGACCTTGTTGTTATTGTATAATTTCGTGTCTAGGATCGAGGTCACACTATTCATATGATCCACTCTCTTCCTGTTCTCCTTGGGTACCCAGGATCCCTTCAAACCTCCCTTGGCCCATTCTCTTCTCAACCCTTCCCCTCCCTCTCGTTCACTTGACTCCTCCTCCTCCTCCTCCTCCTCCTTGGTTTACAGTGGGCTCTCCCCCACGTTACTGTGGATTACCTGGTCTAGTGACGTATATAGCCGGGAGGCGGGTGACTCGAGGAGTTCAGTTCCCCCCGGCAGGAGCGAGGGCAAAGGAGGAGAGTCGCCGTCACCTCCGTTTTACCACCGCCACACCTCCACCACACACTACCGTACGTCCACATCGTCTGTCTTCCTTTAGGTGGTGTGTTGAGTGTTGTCTCTGATGAACACTTAACATACAGTCTTGTGCTCATGATTGGTGCTCGACTTCCACTGGCTGCTGCACGTGGTTCTTGGTTACTGCTAATTGTTCTTATCTTTTGTCGTAGTGTTTTTGGGTGTAATTGAAACTTGTGGTAGACGTAAACAGTACAAGTGATCGGTATTATAGGAACATAAACACAACGTCATCGATGTAGAGAACAACACTGCTCTTATTTTATATAACATCACTGTGAATTATTTTTCGTTTGATCATTCCACTTTTATTTTCGTTTTAGCAACTGACAATGAAGTACAAATATACCATGACAACAAAGTGAACAACGACAAAGCACGAACTGGTTAACCACACATTGTAGTTTAATAAAAAAATAATTAAAATGTTTTCGACCCTTTACTTCATTATTCGACCATATGTGACGGTGTGTGTGTGTGTGTGTGTGTGTTCTCTTGAGTGAAGTATCGAGATAACACAGTGAGACGCGCTTCATCTAGGGAGTGTTTATAAAGTCCCTTGACGTTTGTGTTTACATCATAACTTTGCTTTTCCCATTGTTTACTGTGATATGTTCCTTAGACTTTCAGGTGAGTTTTTTAAAGAATGTATCACAAACGTTCCTATTGCGATCTTTATATTTCCACTTTAGTGACAACATGTATGGCTAAGAATACAACTGTGCTGAAATTGAAGGATCACACAGTAATGGTAATGTACAGTACTCTCCTTAGAAAACGCCAAGGGACTTTGTAAACATCCAATAATTAGTGACAGTTTTAATAAATAATACTGAGAGATTACAAACTGATTTCTAGAAAGTTTCATAAATCGCTTTTGGTTAGTTATTGTAGATAATTGGAATCCAATCGTTCTTCTAACGTGAATGATGGTAATTAATATAATTTCTCTACACTCTTCGGATTTATTATAATTTTTGTTGTTGTATAGTCGTTTTTTTTTGTATTTGCATTAATTTTCATTCCTTTGTTTTTCTTGGTAGTTATCTCTGTTCGCATTTTGGCTTCCTCCACCGTCTCTATCTCATCCTGTTGGCGTTTCTTCATATAAGAAAAAAGAACTTGAGAAATAAGATTACAATCACGTGACTTATAGTCTGTCAGATTAGCTCACCCAAAAAGACACTTAAATTATACCCAATCTGTGCTAATCCTTTGATCGTCGCAACCCAATCGCCCAGGCTCTTATTTCGTCAACAGATGAATGTCTTTCGGGGATTCGCTCACTTAACCACGTAGATAAAGATTAGGATGAGGATTAATTAAATTAAAACAAATGGATATTGGACCATATGCACAAGGTTGGGAATTATATTTAATTACGAAAAACATGAAAAAAATACATTATCTTGTTAAATATGATTATAACTCTTAGGTAATACCTATATTCAGGTTGACACACTGTGTAATGAAGGGGAAACACGATACAATTTCCTTTGTCCACGAGCTTGTGAAGAAACCAAATGGCAGACTGACAGTATCCATGGCAGGCTGAAGGATGGCAGATGGTTATATTTCCTGAGATATATCGCACATCTAATAGATTATACGATATAGCAGCAATTAATGCAGAAGATAGTACAATAGATTTGACAAGATACAATACAGCAACGATTAATAATGGGGTTTCTCTCTCTCTCTCTCTCTGGTAAATTTAACGAGATATAACAGCGATTAGAACATTCTCACGAATTATAACAGCGATTAGAAAGTTCTCACGAGATATAACAACGATAGAAAGTTCTCACGAGATATAACAGCGAAGAAAGTTCTCACAAAATATAACAGCGATTAGATAGTTCTTACGAGATTTGGTAGCGATTAACACACAAGTCAAGGAAGACAATATTATTCCACTATAAAAGCTTGTTTATTATAGAGGTGTTCTTGGGGCTTATAAACTATAATTTTGGTTTTAATCTAAAGAACTTCCCAACATGTTTATCCTGTTAGTATAATAATTGTGAATCTTCTTTTGTTTTTGCCCTTTTTGTCGTATTACAAACGTTTATTAGATTATCTTATGTATTATCGTTTATCTATTTTTCGTTATTCTTTATGTACCTTTGTTATTATTCTATTGTAATTTTTTATTAATCTTGTTTATCTGCTACCTGTATTTCCTCTTTTATTCTCATTTATTTCCTCTATCTCTCGTATTTCTGTAATGTACTTCTATGTAGAGGAATAATATCAATATTCTCAATTATTTTATCTTATTTATTTATTTTGTTTGTTAACTTAATATGTCACGGCGGTTAAAACTCCTGTCGCCTCTCCTGCTGCTTAACGAACCCCGAGATTCAAACTCGTGAGCCCGAAGCAGTAGACACTGACCCATTATTCTATCCACGGATGCTTCGGGTTCGTGAAGCAGCACGAGAGGCAACAGGAGTTTTAACCGTGACTGATACGAGGTCAATAATGTTGATTTCAATGACCTTATTTCCTTTATTCTATTTAATTTGATTTATCCCCTTACGTTCGTCTACTGTATATTCATGAAACATTATTATAACTGTCTTTTTATATCATCAGTATCATCATTATGTCATTAACCTTTCTCTTTGTTATCTCTCTCTCCCTCAGCACCATGGATGAGGAACAGATTGCCAGTAAGTACAAGAATGACCTTATATTGTCACGGGACGGTAAGTGTCATGATAATTTTCTCTCACGGGGCAATAAGTGTCATAATGCTTTCCTGTCACGGGGCGATATGTGTCATGATGCTTTGCTGTCACGGGGCGATAAGTATCCTGACTCTTTCTACCACGAGACGAAAAGTGTCATAGTGACAGTCATCTATTTAGCTACAGTCACATCCGGCGGAATTGTCGCGGCCCACAGTACCTATACGATAATGTTTGACACTGACGTCACCGCTCCTCTACCTTGTCAGAGAACTACTTAACAGATTATTATCACTGTAGTTTGACAGTCGAGGTATTGCGTGCTGTTTCAGAGCTCACATTCTCAAAGATTTGTACGAGGATCTTTTGTTTTCTTTTTCCTTCCTTCGGTCTTTAAGGGAATATATACATGTTTAACTTAAGAGAACACAGGCATTTGATCAACATATATTTGATTCACTTAATTCACAAGGATATTGACTAACATCAAATTGGATATTCAAAGACAGAACACTAAATTACTGATCAGAATACCTCCGATTTTGCCCAACTAAAGTCAAGTTATCAGCATATGAATCTTTGAGGATCACGGGTCACCCTCCGCCTTTTGTGATGTTTCTGTTTTGGGATCAGCTGTAGAACTGTCCGTCACTTGCCTCACAGACATTTTGTGATAGTTATAGTCATTGTAAAAGTGATGAGAAAAGTTTCCACAAGTAGAGAATGTTAGTTGTCAACAGAAGGTGAAGACAAGTGTTGCATGGTCGTTCCTTCATGTTGTGATGCGAGTCATTTTAGCAAAGATAGAAATATTTGTTGATTTTGATTACAGTTTGTTCAGTAGCTAGCAAACGATCCCGGTGAGGACTTTTTTTTTTAATTGAATATGACCCTGTGATGTCTTAGCTCTCTCAAATGTCCTTAAATAAGATCCTTGAAGGTGGTAACTATGTGCTCTCACGACCTGACTGTAAATTCTAAAGAACAATACATTCAATTTAGTCACACTCGTGGTTGCGTCACTTGTGCTGCTTCCCGCCATATCAGCTGATCTTTGGCGAGAAACATCTGTCACCTGATAATTCATGTGGGAAATAATTACTTCTGGGAAAGCCACATACATAATTCTCTTATGGTGGAGGAAAATGTGTTTTCTAGAGAAGTGGTTTCATATTTCATTGTCAGTTCAGATGGACTCTTCTTGTATATAACCGGGGCCAAAACATCACAAGGTTTAACATGTGACTGTGTAGCTAAGAGGTCAACACTGTTTCAGCCAACGTGTGTGTTGTCTGCCTGCCTGATAGACTAGACACTACGACCACCCCTCCACACCATCACCCAGATCCACCTGAACCCCCAGAAGGGCTCTGATCCTCTCAGGCGGGCGGCTGCTACAACTTACCTACCCTAATGAACAAACTTAGTAGATGAGGAACTATGGCGAGAACTAAACACGTCAAGAAGAATGTCAACAAACGCCCTAGGCTAAAACTCTCCCAGTGAGAACTTGAAGGGGAATAATAAAAATAAAACTAGATTTTCTTCATTTACGTGATATGAAGGAGACAACCTTGGGTTCTAAACAATGTCAAGAGTCAAGTGATCTAAGTATCCACAAGCTGCAATAATACTGCCAGTTGCTCTCTAAGATCTTATGGAATTTTCTGATGACCCACCTCCTACCGACCTCTCACAAAGAACAATAACAGCTCCTGGCAACAGTGTTTCACAAGAGATGACATCCTGCTAAACTGTAGGTATGCAGATGACTGACGCCTAAGACACACTTCATCTTACCAGCTGTTGGTTGTCGCTAAGAATTATAATAAAATATTGAATATATGACGAAAGGCGCGGAAACAAATATAAACAAAACAGGTCCTACCCTGAGAAAGAACGTGGAGATCTTCACCGAGAGCAGCAGCAGATGACCACAAATAAGAAAAAAAAATGTTAGAAAAAAAACCGCCTAAAAATAACTGGCATTTTAGACACAAACTTCCAAAACGGAAACAGAAAATCACACAGGAGTTCCAACCTGAGGCAGCACCTGCAGGAAAGAGACCAACAGAAGCAAGATGCACCTAGAGGCAGAGATAACGTAGATGTAAGTATGTCTTGTTAGTGGTGGGTATCTTTGCCCCACCCCGCCCGGCCCTGCCCCGCCCTACCTTGCCCTTACCTGCCTGACTTTACCTAGACTTACGTGGGATTTTAACAGCCAAGACATGAATGGTGTATAGTGCTCCCATCTTGCTGTGAAAAACCTAATCTCATAACCATTGTTTGTCGCTCCTATTATTGTGCTTTATATTCATGGAGGACATGTTTATTATTATTATTATTATCATTATTATTATTATTATTATTATTATTATTGTTATTATTATTATTTGTCAGTTGCCTTTTTTCTTTCATTTACCTAATATACTGATACAAATATTTTATTTATTTCAGGCTCTATCGATTTTGTTTTTAATTTTCTCTTTACTTTTTATCTGTTATTCAAATTATTTTCATTTCGTTATGCATTTTGTGACATTTATTTTCCTCTGATTATGGTAATGTGATTTTACAGTAGATGGCAAGATTTGCATGAGGTCGTGTCACAATTCACACAAGTATTCTTTCATGTTGGCTTGTACTACTTCCATAACGACTTACTGACCACTGATAAGTAATTAAAAGAAAGAATCATACGCATAAGGGTAATTGCAGGTCATTATATTGGAGTCAATATTAGTTTACAAGTCCCCGCGTTAAAAGCTAGACTGAGATAAAGATAAATTCGTATAAAGGACAGGTAAAGCTCAACTCATACGGATGACAGGTAAAGCTAAACTCGTCAAGAATACCAAAGGAGGAGTGGAGAAACTGCTGGAGTATCACAGGCTCTCGTCACCTATGAAAAAAAAAGAGGTTCCTAGGGTGGCGGCCAGATGACGTCGAGTTCACAGACGGGTGGACATGGGACGCTATGAATCTTATCGCTGTCACATTGCTTGTCAAGATGTCTCGTAGATCAGCATTCTCGACCCTTCATAACCACCCACCTACAGTAGATGGTTTTAATGTCTCTCTACAATAAATTCTGAAAGTAATCGTCTTGCTATGATTTTATCTGATCATCACCTCATAATATTGTCCTGAGCGTAACAACAGTTGATGGGGTTAACAAAAATGTGAAAACCTCCCGTTGATTGTTAGTAATGTTTGTAATGGTCACACTGGCTACATAACTCCACCATGAGCCACATTTTCATTCCTCATTGATATAAGTGATGAGGTATAGTATCCATATCGTTTTGTTTACTCCTGAGAGTGTGTCTCTAAAACAGACAGGTCGATTTTGATTAAACTTGTCAGGTGGTTCGATGGTTACTGACTAAGGAAAAACTGACTCTTGGGGAAAGTTTGTTTCAGGTCACAGAACAAGGTCAGATTTTACGCAAGAGTTAAAACTGTAATCAGGCTTGTCTTCTCCAATGTCTTAGAAATATGATAGGGGGACCTGGCTTACTTTCAGGATTTAAAAGACATCTGGAATTCACAAGCTTAACAACAGTTTTTTTAGGATCTCGAACGCATCATCCGCTTACTGGTATACCACTTCACTACCGCTCAGGTAATGGTGTGTTGTATATGCTATTAGCAGCCACCAATCACAGTACTCGAAGAGAACTAACGTCATAAGACCTAACCGATTAAATTCCCTCTTGCTAACTCCAATTTTCCAAGGTACGATTCTGTGGTATTAAGTAAGAACTTTTGTTCGTAATTTTCAGTAGCTGTTGTCTTGTGTATAAGATGAGAGTACGTGCTTTAAAGAAGCTAGTTATTGAAACACAGTTATGTATTTGAAGTCTAAGGGCCTGTGTGACGTCATATAATTCTAGATCAATACATTTTCGAGACGTGTGTCGTCATTACTACTTGTCTAGTCAGTTACATAGTTCTTAGGTGATTTACAGAACCCCTTTCATATGTCCAGTACTGTAACTACATAAGGAGGTCAAAATTACCCACCCACGATCATCCATCCGAAACAACCAATCCAAAACCACCCACCCACCCACCACCCCTCACCCACAAACATTCACCCACCTACTATTGTACCATTCCCCCATTACCACCCAGCCGTGCCACCCACCCAGCAGGATAGATTGTACGATTCTCAGACATACTATTTGTGTACAGTGGAGGGAGGGAGGGAGGGAGGGAGACATTACTCATTCGGGTACCATGCCAAGATATACCCTTTGCTGCCCACTACACCACCATCACCATACCACCACCACCACTATCACCATCATCATTACTACCACCACCGCTACCACCTTAACACCACTGCTATCGCCATCATCACCACCACTATCGTCATCATCACCACCACTATCGCCATCATCACCACCACTATCATCATTATCACCACCACTGCTACCTCATCCACACCACATTATCATACTAGTGCCATTATCACCATCACCATAAGTTCACAACCACTACCACCATACAGTACCACACTATACAGTCATACCAGCACCACAATACACCACTATCTCCACCATATGAACATACCAGAGGTACTCTATCAAACTTTCTTTACATTATTCTCGTACTACCAATACTCCCACATCACAATAATATCACCATAACAACACACCACCACCACTACCACAAAACATCATCACACCACACTGCCATACCACCACCACAACACATCACCACACCACCACCACACAACGGCCACCACAAAACACCATCACCATACAACACCACACCACACAACGGCCACCACAAAACACCATCACCATACAACACCACACCACACAACGGCCACCACAAAACACCATCACCATACCACCCCAACACACCACCACCTCCACCCTAATACACACCACACCACACCAACACAATCCCTAAAAATACATCCAGTTGAAACACAATTAAAAGCGTCCTGTTACTCTCTGTTCATATGACAACCACTAGACTTGCTCAGGTGTTAGTATTTTAGGTCTACGAGAGCGACATGTAAGTTAATTAAATACCTGTGTGTGGCAGGTGTGTGTCATGGCGACTAATTGTGACGTCAGAGGGGAGGGTTGTGTTGACGGTACATATAAACAAAGCTTGCGGAAAATATTACACCAGACAAAATTGCACTAAAGATTCCACCCTGGACAATATAACACTGAACATAATAACCCTGAACAAAATAACAAAACAGAATAACACAGAGAGAGAGAGAGAGAGAGAGAGCTGTATATCAGAGGAGGTTAAGTTTGGTTAGGGTTGGTTAGGTTAGGTTAGGTTTCCGTTTCCCTATAAACTTTTATGCTAATATAAAGTTATTACCGTCATGCACTTCATTACAACGTGTTCTTCACCACCTTTGTATTGTTATGCGCAACTCTGTTTTAGGTATTAATTCCCTCTCATGTTTAATTTCCCTCTCTCCCTGCTTCTTTCTCTCCCTTCCTATCAATTTACCTTTTTGCCTCTCTCCCTCCCTCCCCCAGCCTGAAGTCTCCTACCCCGTCCCTCCTTCCTCCTGTCTTGCCCCTTTCCTCTTTCCCTCTCTCCGTCCCCAGGTTGAAGTGACCATCGCCTCCCTCCCTCCCTATTTGCCTCCCTGTCTCCCTTGTCATTCTGAAATGACTTTTTCCCTTTATTCTTCCGTCCAGGTTCATTCTCTCTTCTTCTTCCCTCACTCATGCTGAAATCCTCTCCTCACTCTTTCCCTTAGTGTGCTAAGATCTCCCTTCTTCAGTCTCTGGTTCTAACACTTCTTCCTCACCTCCGTCAGCCATGAAGAAGGTGTTTCAGATGTTCGACCAGGGCAAGACCGGGTTCGTGGAGTGCAACAAGTTCGTCAACATCCTTAACACACTCGGCCAAGCCTTCGACGAGGACGAACTCAAAGCCAGAATCGCCGAGAATGACCCCAACAGTAAGTGTGTCGAGTAGTAGTAGTAATAAAGAATACTAAATGGGGATCTACTGACATTCTTTCCTTTATATTATTTTTTTTCTCACAAACATTGAGGTAACGCTTACCTATCATGTGATACCTGTTAATGGACATTTATGTTATTTGTCAAAAAATAGTCTTCAATTGTAGCCATTCAGTCTACTAGTATTCGCATATAATATAATTTAGTCACGTAAGAAATCAAAATTAACCAATCAGAGACGTGATAAGGAAGCCTATTGGCCCATCAAATAAGTTCTACCCACTTTTGGTGCCCCCAGCAACCTTCTCAGTTCGTGGAAGTTGACTGCTGGTTACAAAGTGACTCTCCTGAGCATCACCAAATGAATCAACCACCAAATACTGTCGTGGTTGTTAAGACGTCGAAAGTAGAAAGAACTAAGTTGATAGGTCAGTTACCAGCAGCTGTAAGAACTCAACTACGTACCAAGTAAAATGATCAAATGTGTTTACACTGTGCCCCCCTCCCCAACAGAGGAAGGAAAAGTGGACTTCGAGAAGTTCTGTTCCATCGTAATGCCCTTCCTGGAGGAGGACGACGACGAGGCCATGCACGAGGAGCTCAAGGAGGCCTTCAGGCTCTACGACAAAGGCGGTGAGTACCTTTAAGGCCTTCTGGAGGAGGGTGTTGACCTCCCCCCTCCTGCAGGCGTAAAGGTACTCACACTTCCCTGTACAGTAACTAACAGGAACTGCTTGGTATTTTATAACTTAATAACTTCGTGATTGACTAATATATTCACTGCAAATTTTCCCTTAATTATCAATCCATTCGTTCATCTTCCTATCTACCTACATATCTATCTAACTTTTTATCTATTTCTCTTTCTATCAATCTATATATTTTCTTTATACGATTTGACCTCTACTAAACTACCATATTGATGCCTCAAGTGTAAAATCTTAGGTCTCTCTCTCTCTCTCTCTCTCTCTCTCTTTTAATATTTCTACTCCGCCGCAGCTTACTTTATTTTCTTCCTATTTTATCCCTTTTACATACGTGTCTGAAAAAATCAACCCGTTTTTATTATTGAATTTATTAACTTAATGGTGATTACTTTTAACATAATTAACATGGTTAAATTTATTTCTGCTTTGGATAACACGAACCTGATTTCATCTTACATTTATTCCACTGATCGATTTCAATATATTTTGGCCTAACAAACCGAGTGTTATTAATTTCGACTAAATAACCTGATTTTCAACTAATTTCGGCAAGATGACCTGATTTCAACTTATTTCAACTAAATCGCCCAATTTCTCCTTATTTCGACTAATTAACTTAATTTAAATTGACCTTAATTTCTTTTAACCTAATTTCGATAAAACTCTCCTATTTTCTGTTATTATATATTGCTAACATTCAGATGTATTCCACCTATTTCGATACTAATCAATTAGTTTCCGATTTTCTCAACACCCATTCACACTTTACCAATTATGATAACATTTTAACTTTTTTACCCAATTTCGATAACACCAAGTGAATAGAAGTGGGCGACGTGGACACAGTAGAATGAATATGAAGCTTTCGGTACGTAAGAAGGCTCTGCACTCGACCCTCTAACACTTCTCCATCAGTAACGTTAGGTACCGATACCCAACTGGCGTGGACTGGCGTAAACGTGAACTAGATTCGTGGAAGGCTACTCACGAATTTCTACAACATTCGAGCGTTTATACAACAACACCAGCAGCAGCCATAACACTAACCAAAAGTTCTTTATTAAGCTCGAACCATAGTTTTGTTCTTCTCTCAATTGAAAGTTGATTTAAAATATTTCTCACCTGTTGTCGATCTAATTAGCATGTTTTGAATTTGCTTTTACTAATTGATATATTGATATTTAATGTTCCCTATTATTTATTATGTCTGCCTTATACTGACTTCCTTTCTCTTTTATTATCTTTCGGTATTAAAAAATTAAACTAATGAAATTTAAAGCAATATAAGTTATGTTTGATGTAAATCAGTTCATTATTATAAGTGATGTATAATTTTATTTCAAAATTCAAATTCTAATTTTTTTTCTCTTTTTGTCTTGAACCGAACTTTCTATTTATGTTTCTTTTATTTTCTCTTTGTTCTTATTTTTTCTCATTTCCTTGTTTATTACAATTTATTCTCGCCAATTTCTATTCTCATTGTTGTTAATTTTTATTGTTGTTAATTTTCGACTTTCCCCTTTATTATTTTCTAATAAATCCTTCACTAATTTCTTCATTTTACGATTATTTTGTTTTATTATTTTCTTACTATCTTTTATTTGCATTATTCTCGTATCTATTAACTCACTCTACCCTTCTTATCCCTCTATCTAATAATTTTATTCATGTCATTTATTCTCACCAATTCCTAATTTTCGGTTTCAATATTTGTTTTTTCTTTTTATTGTTTTATTGTTATTTGATTTGTTTTTCTTTCACTTTCACTATTGTTTAATTCTCTTCTATTTTCTTTAATTTTAATTTTCTCAATTATCTTTTATTTTTACCATTTATTACTGTTTCCATTCACTGTCTGTGTTCTCCTCTATTATTTAGGTATTTTCTTTATTATTACCATCTTCTCTGTGGTTCTACATTCCCTTTATGAGATCGGTAACATTCTCTTTATTTCTCTTATCTCTCTCTCTCTCTCTCTCTCTCTCTCTCTCTCTCTCTCTCTCTCCCTCTCTCCTTATACGTTCTCACATAAATTGTAAAAAAACATATAATCTAAAACTTCTTACCTTCGACATTCAGCCCTATGGAACTTATTATTTTATTTAATTATCTGTAATCAATGTAACTAACTCCCTTCCTTCCTTCCTTCCTCCCTTCAAAAAGTTTCATTTACCTGTTTTATTACCTGTTTATTATATGATTGTATTTATTAGTAACCAATAAACCCACGAAAATTTAAATTATAAAAATAAAATCTTCCTTTCGGGGAATATGATATTTAGTACAAGTGTTATATTACCATGACAAAGGAAGAGTAATTTGATCTACCCACTCTAAGGTTTACATAGAGTGTTGAAAATGACATCTCTCTCTCTCTCTCTCTCTCTCTCTCTCTCTCTCTCTCTCTCTCTCTCTCTCTTTGAAATAACTGCACTACTTCCGTCTCCTTCCCCCCTTCCCTCCACCCCTATCTCACTGTACACTCACTCCCCCCTCCCCTCTAAGAATACTACACTCATTCCTCCCCCTACCCCTACTGGATCTTACACTCGTACCCTCCCCTCCATCCCTCCCCTCCCTCTCGCTACCCTCCCTGACGCTCCCGCTGCCACAGGTGACGGCTACATCACGACGGGGACGCTGAAGGAGATCCTGAGGGAACTGGACAACAAGCTGACGGAGGAGGACCTGGACGGTATTATTGATGAGATCGACGAAGATGCCTCGGGCACCGTCGACTTCGATGGTGAGCGCGCGCACGCGCACACACACACACACACACACACACACACACACACACACACACACACACACACACACTTCCATCTTTTCTATAAATTCATTGTTATTTAATCTTGTCCACTCTTGCAATATTTGGTCATATTCACAAAAAAATTACAATGAAATAATAAACTAAACCTTTGGATCTTTTACAGAGTTTATGGAGATGATGACGGGGGAGTAAGAACGTTGACCTTCGCTATCTACTGCTTCCTCTCTTCTTCCTTCCTCCTTCTACTTATTTATTTATTCATCCTAATCTTTTTATATCCATTTTATCTCCTCTTTCACCTTTCATACCTCCTGTTTTATTATTTGTTTTGTTTCCTCTATCGCCTGAACTTCTATTGTCTATCTGTAATCACCATGCTAATTTTTCACCATTCTCCATTCTTAAATTTCCATCATTATTTAGACGTTTCTGGGTTTTTTCCCGCTATTTTGATTCCCCATAGTAATATTTTCCCCACCATCTAACATCTCGCTGTAATATTTTCCCTGCCATCTGAATTCCCGTCCTAATTTGACCCTATCAGTTGAACCTCTCTCTCTTGATATTTTCCCTCGTCCAGAGACAATCTCTTCTGAATTGCTCTCTCTCTCTCTCTCTCTCTCTCTCTCTCTCCAACGTCTTGACCTTTTTCTGAGAATTCCCTGACCTCGCTTGACCTCAGGAACGTGACCTCCAGATGCAATACAAAAAGAGGGAGTAGTGTGTGTGACCAGAATCTTACAGGCCAAAAGGTCAAGAGATCACAGGTCAAGAGGTCACTAATAATAGTTATGGTTATTGTTATTATTGTTTTCATAAATATCATAGCTGCTATTATCATTATTATTATTATTATTATCATTATTATTATTATCATTATTATTATTATTAATACTATTATAGATTTTTGAAATAATAAATTTTATACAAATATAGAGTGAATTTTTATTCAGTATTTAATAACATCCCCAGGATATTGAAAACTGTATATATGAAAGGCCTGACACATTCGTACTCAATATTACATCACCAGACAAAAGACTCCTAAAAGTTTAAAGTTATTGGGATTAAAACTTATATATACTGTTCTTTAGATCTGAAGGTGATACCAATAAAGAGAGAGAGAGCCTTAAGTTACTAAGAAAAACGTAATGAAAATATTTTTTTTGCTTTCTCATGAGTTTTGATGGTTTTTGTGAACTATATTTTGCTTCTTGTGTAAATATTAAGGACAGTATATAAGAACTGATTAATCCTCACCACTGCTTACACACTCCACGCTGGTGCCCCCCCTCCCCCCGCGAGACTCCCTGAAACCCTCCCCCAAGAGTCCGAGACACACCATAACCCTTCCCCCGTCCCCCTCAGAAACCCCTTAGATCTCAGCTGAAGACCTAGACAGATTCTCCTATAATCGATTAAACAGAAATTTGATATTCAGGAGGTATGGCCCGTCTTCTATGCGATGGTAAGAATTTTGTTATGAACTTCATCGTTATCACCCAACATTTGACTTAAAAAAAAACACCTTGTAACTTTTTTGTATGTTCAACCGAGTTGTCCATTATCTTAGATTTCCTGACATCCTGTTACTAAAGCTGTTGTTATAATGTTATTACTGCTCTTCAACAACGAAGGTCTTTAAGAGTGTAACAAGGTTAATAATACACTAGAGTAGACAAACAACACTGAGATGGAACTTCTCTTGATTTATTATTAATAACAGTTGTACAACAACACTTGTACTCTTGAATAATAATAATATTAATAATAATAATAAAAGTAATAATAATGATAATTATAGTTATAGTAGTAGTATACATGCGTCAATATCTTTTATAATATATGTTTCGACGTTATACTAACCGTAAAGTGAATGAGAATCTACCCGGAATAACGTAAAGCTTGGTAATACTTTTTCTATGACAAGCAATGAGAGAACTTCTTTAACGTGGTAGTCTTAGTGAAAATATACGGACTCTACTGTACTTGAAGTACTTACCCCATTAATTTTTAAAGTTGACGAACTAGTGTAAATTACTGACCTAATTACGCGCTTAAAGACCTCAGTTTTTGAAGTGTAGTATAATAACATTATGTGACGTCGACGTTTTACTTACGGAACTCTTCGCCTGATTCGTCTTTATGTCCAGAACTTCATTATTTTGTACGACAGTCTGTACTAGAGCGACCGAGCCTCATGGTATTCTTTTCAAAGCTCCGTAATGACACGAGACCTAAAGCAATTTGTGGTCACCATTGGTGTGCCACCGAGGCAGTCACATACACTCTCACGTCTGTAGTTAGAAGAAAAATCTAAGGAACGAATCTGTGATTATCTCTGAAATCTCATAAGTATTTTGGTGGTGAGATAATAAATTTGAGTTGTTTGATTCTTCATGAAACCTCTGACCTGTGAAATACCTTGATATATTTTATGGATACCATTCTGCATTAATCTATGTATGAGATAATCTGTAATAAAGCATTTAATTTTGAATTTCCTGTTGTTCGCCGCTTCAATTATTCTGCTTAAGAACACGGCGATGTTGTTTCCTTGTACTTCAACAACAATTTACTATGTTAGGATAACACTCTTAAATTTACCAACACTTCAAAATAACAAAATTGTTATCACAGATAACACTGCACTGCCTCTAGGGCGAGTTCTTGCGAGAGGTCCAACGCAATCTAATGTTACTTTACTGAATGGATCATCAATAACTGGAATGTGTTGTAAAACGAAGTACCATTCTTCACTCAAGACTCATCTTACAGTTCTCAGACACGACCCTTTTTTTTCCCTGGCCAGCAGAAATATGACAATATCTTCTGATGAGTTTTCCTCACTCCATAAGTGTACTCCCTTGAACTCATTTGCTAATTCCAAAATTTCGCCTTTGTCACAGTTTGGTGTACATCAGGCAGCCACTAAACCATACACCATAAGCAGGGCAAGATAAAGGCCGGAATTACCTCGCCAAGACAACAGAGAGTTCTATCTCTTATAATTTTATATCGTTGTTGTACTAGTGTATTACTAACCATGCTACGCGCTTAAGCACCTTTATTGTTGAAAAGCAAACACACCATTATAACAACAACAACCAAAGCTCCTGAGCAAATATAGTAGCACACATACTGTACAAGGTTGTAGCTTCAGCCTTATCAAAAACTTTAATTATATATATTTAGATAGACTTATGCACTCTGTTTTAGATTTAGTATCAATTTCTTCCTCATGGTAGGTATTTGTTCAGGAGCAATGTTATCACTAGATGAGAAAGAGTCATTACCGGTTGAAGAAGCAACACTGACATCATTTGTGTCATTCTTACCCTATATTCTTTCATCGGTGTCACAATCATCAACCTTATTCTGTAAAAGATACAAATCTTCAAGTTCATATTCATCCTCATCATTTACTGTAATATTATAGTCAGTAACACCAAAGTCAGTAGCATCAGCAATAGCAGCCAACCGACTATTCAGCCTTCCTACTTGATCCTACTCCTTGTAACTGCACATGAAGGGAGCAATCCAGGGTATTCTTTCTCGTGGAAACCAGTATTATTCACCCCCGTGGAGTCATTGTTGGTATTGGATTAGGAACTATATGTATCATAGCTTCTACAATGACGTTACCCATGAAATTAATGACCCCTTGTACAGGTAGAGATTCTTTCACCACAGCGGTTTATCAAACCAGAAACCATCCTGGTCCTGAGATACACATTGGAGCAGTGGCTGCTCCACCCACCCCATAAAGCAACACGTACTCTCCAATATAAAAATCTCCCACACCAGGAACAGATCATTTCAGCAAAACACAATGAGAAGCAGTTGTATCACCCAAATCCATATAGGGTATATCCCACGGAGAGAATATCACTAGATTCCTTAAAAGACACAATGCTGTCTAAAATAAAGGGCTTAGCAGAATCTCCATAAGTGCTTCACTATTACCATACTTCTCCACCTGTTTGAGTAATAGCGTTGGTGCTTCTGCAATTTCAGATTTTAAATTTAGACATTGTGACACAATATGATCTTGCTTCTTCCAGCAAAAACTTAAATTTTAACCACAGAATTAACTAGAGGCTTAAAATAATGTTGTTCTGGATCTGACTGACCACTGACTTTGTTTGAGGAACATTTTCACCCTGCTTACCCACCTTGTCCATAGTCAAATAACCCTCTCCATCAGAATGCCGTTGAAACTTGACAGGATACAATTTATGAATAAGGGTTGCAGCTTTCTGAATGTTTTTTTTTCACTCTCTTCCAAATACATCTGTATGTCCCTCGGAATGGCTTGCTTAAACTACACAAGTAGTAGCAACTCAATAAGCTGATCAAAACTGTATATTTCAAGACTTTAGCAACCTTTCTGGAATCAACTCAAACTTTCTGGAATTCTGACTTGAGAAACGCATCGTTATCCCAAAAGAAATCAGACAAAGACGTTAATGCAGATCGCGTTCATCTTTATAAAGCAGCCTGTGTCATAGCAATCCAAGAATTATTAGCCCACTTGAATGATTTAGTTGCCTTCTTAAACTGTATGAAAACATCTACGAAGTCTTCCTCCTCAAAAGACGCCATTAGTTGTAAATATTGTATAATATAAAACTTCTAAATATTGCATTACCAGCAGTGATCTGAATTTCACATTGGTGCTCTCCATTCCTTCTCTAGAGGTAGGTAGTAGGCAGCTATCAAACAAGGAGGTACTACCGCCTGGGAAGATATTGGAAGCAACATGTGATGTCTAATGGTAGACCTTACTGCTTTATGGCATCACGAAAATTGTGACCAAGTGCCAGGTTGTTGATCTGTCTTTCTGCCTCATTTACACACAATTGCAGGACCTCAATTGTTTCTGTTACTTTGAAAACACAAAATATATTGTTTCTCACTATTTGTTTTTAATTTTTGTAATTCTTTATGGTTCTTTATTATTATTATTATTAGTGTTGATATTAACATTATTGTTATTATTATTATTTTTTTTATTTTTAATTGTAGATTTTATTAAAACAAATATTTACTCTGAATTATTATTATTATTATTTTTGCTATAAATTTTATTTACTATGAATTATTATTATTATTATTATTATTATTATTATTATTATTATTATTATTATTATTATTATTATTATTATTATTATTATTATTATTATTATTATTATTACACCCCCAACCCCAAGGCCCCGTTGTGGGTCAGTGACCTGTGCCTGGGCTAATCCCTGTAAAAAAAATAATAATAATACTATAAGTGACAAAAACAACACTAGAGATAATAATAAACACCGGAAGACTACTTCACCTGGGTCCGTACTTCATCACGTTGGATGGGACCAAACAGCGTCTCAACACCTGACAAAATCCTGTGTAACAACAAGGCGTTCCTAAACTACCACATAGAGCAAGGCCCCCCCACCCCAAATGATCATATCCCAATAATATTCACAGTCTCATCTAGCCCAATACACCTAGCAAAACAGACTGGATAAAATACAAGGAACTACCAGAAAATTATCCTTTAGTGAATGTAAAAGAAGCAACACTTGGGGTAGGTGACGAGCAAGTAGATAAGTTACACACGTTATAAGGCAGGAAATCAACCAAACAACCCCGGCAATGATATACAGAGCCCTCCCAAGTAATAAGCCCACTAGAGAACTACTCCGAAAGGAAATTCAGCATGATCCTCAAGAAGAATATTAAAAAATATTAACAATGAAAAATGGAACAGTCTAATAAAAAACAGATACACGAGGACATAAAAAGCTTTTGAGGAAAAAGAAAAGATCTTTCGAAAAGAATGTAAAAAAACAGATCTTTTAATATCAGAGGAAGAAATGAGCATTTTGACGAAGAACACAAAGAAGTCATTAAAGACTGTCTAAGAGAGTGAAACAATAGAC